AAGTGAATGCATATGAACTAATGAAATCATTAAACAGAATGTTAAATGATCCATCCATTGTGCATTTCCTTCCCCCTCCTCAAATATAAAATGCAAGTGATTTTTTTCACTAAAAAAAATAATAATCTGACTTTCATTATTAAAAACACGTTTTGGATGTTAATAATAAATAAGTTTCTTTAGAATCCTACATCAATCTCCCTTGGGATCTGTGGTGAGCTCATATTAGATTAGCACAGGCACCAATTTTAAATACTACCAGAGCTTTAGGCTGCGCATTTTCCTATGACTCCTCCTCATTGCATTTCTTCTTCCCAAAAAATATTCTTTAGAAGAATTTCTATAAATAAAATAAATTTAAACTTGTAGTGGTTTAATGAGCTTCAATAAAAAGAGCCAAATAATAGGTCCTGAATTTTGTTAAACATAACACTCAGTCTAGCTGCTTAAATATTACGAAAGAAGTCTCATAATAAGCCTCTTAACTTTGTAATGGCTCAGTTACTATTGGAAGAATATATCTCAGCAAAAGAAGGGGCAAAAACATGCAGTGATGTGACCTTACAAAAAGTTAACAAACACCACTTAGGCCACTGTAGATTATAACTATGCTACTGAAGGAAAGCATCCATATACGAAAGCTTTGATTAATGAAGCTAGTTAAATACAGACTAACCACTGTACTCAAGTTTTAGGGTTTTTTTAAAGAGATAATTAACTAAATTGCCAGGGATTCCTACATCATAATGATTATTTAACTATATAACAGATTTGTGGTTCCTGTGGCATTTTTGCATTGAAGAATTTTGTCATAGCATCAATTATACTGCTCTTAGAAAGAAGCAGTTAGTTAGCTGTGAAAGCTCCAGGAATTATTGGAGTGTTACGGCAAATATTGTGAATGAGAGTATAGTGTTTACAGACAGGAGATGGAGTATTTTTTCTATGGCTTACAAATCAGATCTTTTCCACTAAGGGTAAATAGATAGTGTAAAATTTTGGAGCATAAAAGGGTGTTCAAGTCCCCTTAAGGGCAACTCCTCCAGTAAACAGCATTCAAGTCACTCCTCTGCAACACACAAGGT